ATAATAGACTTAGTCATGAAAAAAGCATAATATTTAACATCTTACGTGGAAGCCACATCACTGCTTACATTGGCTCATCGTGCCTTAACAATCACCAATATATGATTGAGATCACATTTAGTTTGGAGATAAAACAATATATTTAATACGAATAAAAGTGATGTTACACATGCAAGGTCGAATCTTATCATCCTATGAACTGAACTTCGAATGAATGTCGTCGCGTCCACCATTATTGACCTTCTCTTGGTGTTTGTTTTCCCAGTTATCTCATGTTCAGCTTCGAGGATTTTGGTTAGGATCCAGTGCCACTACAGGCCTCAGCACACACAAGGGAAAAAGCAAAATTCTCGAATACAACGCAGAGCTCTGGAACAGGTGGAAACCCTCATATACTTGGACAGCATCATCACCGATAAACAAGGAGGATCCGATGTCAATGTAAATGTAACTGAAAGAGCGAGGACAAAATTCCTATAGATGAAGAACACATGGAAATCAAAACATTCGTTACCCATTATTGAAGTGAGAATCTTTAACACGAACGTCGAAACAGTTCTACCGTACGGAGCTCAAACGTGTAGAACTGCGACAACCATCACCGAAAAGAAACGGGTACTTTTCCGCACAAAATACTCTAGGTCCACTTTCCACATACAATCAACAAAAGACTACTGCGGGAGATAATAAACAGGTTTTCGCTCAAGAGGAAACTATGAATTTGTGGATAGGGTTTACACTTCGGAAATCATCAGATTGCATCATGAGGCAAGCGTTAACTCGGGATCTTGAGGGCAGAAGCAAGATAGGAAGACCAAGGAACGCGTCGCCTAGGGAATTGGGAGAAAACATCGAAAAAATAAATGCCAAATGGAAACGACTGGAAAGAAATTTCTCGAGACTGAGTTTGATGGAGCTCGTGCTCCCTCATGGAGAGTGATAGGAATAAGCGAACAAAAATTCAGGAGGAAAAGGAGCCAATTTATAGTCCGCCACCGGAAAACTGATTTAATGCGAATAGAAAAAATGGGGAGCACGTGGAATAACAACAGAATGGGAAGAATCATTAAGTACGTGAAAAACAACTGAATGATGTGCGGATAATGTATCTAATGTATGGTTCTCATATTACATCAAAGCACCGTGCAATTTTGTACAAAAAATAAGTCGGTTACCCTATCTATTCTTCGTTCACTACTGTACTACTATTTTCACATGATCCTTGAATACCGTCACTCCGTTAAGTCCTTTGGTATGTGTATGATCGTTCTATATACTCCTTGGCAGGCTTTTCTTCAAAAGATCCTTTACACTCTCCGAGTTTTGTAGCACAAATATTTTGAGCTTCCTTGTATTTAGACTTTTACCATCAATAACCAGCAACCTTAATTTCTCCTACCTTATTTCTCCTTTACCGAGTATTGTACAGAACTACTAACTAAATAGTTGTAGAAAGTTTCCTAAATTCTTTGCTGTAGTCCATTCGAAGGTGATGCAGTATTTGTTACGTAAAAACTTCTGAATATCTCCCACTCCTCCTCATTGAGGAGTTGTGGTCCTATTTTTCGACCAACTAATGATTAAGAGAGTATAATTTTTGTGTATGTGCTTTTTTCGAAGTTTGGCCTTGCCTACACTGACTCATCGTTTTTGACAACGATATGGGAATCGAAGACTGAGTGATTACTCTTACCGTGCGTGGCGCATTATTGATTCACCTCACAGTTTGGACTGCAATAGACAAAACCAATCAGCAGTCTTTGTCTTTTGCATTTCAAACTGCGTACAAGATCCGGAGTTCATTCAAACAGCTTCATGTTTCCGAATCATTCTCTTTCTACGACTCACAACTCAAAATTTTCACTTCTAAAGTCCACTTCAACAGAGACCAACTTAAGCTTGAGTCCACTTTTAGCTCCTTGCTTTCTCATGCAGTAAGCCAGCTATAATTATTCGCTGATTGAAACCACTTACTATTCAGTATATGTCCATACTGTAGTATTAACTTCATTTCATTAAAATATTTAAAAGAAATCTTTGACAGCCTGGTTTTATTTCTTCAAGTTAATCTGGACACCTAGTCTATAAACCTTTAGCGAGGTGACCCCAGAGATATTTGAGGCATTAACTGGTTAAATAGATCTCTCATCAACACAATGTCAGGTTCAAGGAGCATTCTAGGATCAAAGCCTTTGCTCTCCTTGACTCCATGCGATATAAATGACCTTGCACTTTGATCAATCTAAGATTTTTCAGCTACGGTTAAGGAAATTGGCCTTCTGTTATGACATTGGTTTGACTCTTACACTGACTTTTACACTATTCATCAGTTTTCACTGGCGTAGCTATCATATTTGCGTCACGCATATCGTGAGATTCCGAACGACTGTTCGTTACTTGGGTTATTAGGTGTCGTGACGGGTTATTTTCTATGCAGGATACGACTTTAGCCTTATGATCATGTTTTTTCGGTTCTAGCGATATATATATATATATATATATATATATATATATATATATATTATATGTATAAGCTACACTGGCCACATATTGCCAAATTTACTCCAAGAGCTCAGTTTCGAGGAGACAGTGACCCAACTGTCAAGGATACTCGATAAACCACACTCGTCGCTCAATAATAATAATAATTAATTCTCAAATAACAATCTGCTACACGAGGTAAGCTCGTTTACAGACAACATTAATTTGTTACAGGAGATACCGTCTTCACTGTGGTTAATTACTCAGTAAGTTTGATATTTCATAAGGCACGTTGATCATAAAATCATGGGGGTTAACAAATCTCTCATACGAATACAACTAATATCAGTCAAATGCGTTTTGTCAATTTGACAGTTGGCGCGCTTTATGGGGTTCGCGTTGCGAGGATCAAATGATAGTCCAGGATGAATCCATGTCAATTTGAGAGCTTCTATTTACTATGACCCTATATCCCTCTCGAACATCTGAGCTATTAATGATGGCGCAAGACAAAGTCACCCTTTCCGTATGCGTTATCGGTGGCATATCTAGAGGAAGCTGAAAAAGTAGGTAAGCAAAATAAAGAACGAGAAGCAAAACTGACAGTGTTCATGCCTACTAGAAGTGAGTCATTTGTAGTGAGGTAGTGAATGTATGACCACCCAGTCCAAATTTCTATAATTAAGGTACTTTCCCGAGCTTCCAATTTTGGGGAAACTCCCGAAGTCAAGTGACCTCGACCAAGGTTAAAGGGAAATTTTAGGGTTTTTGTGCCGTTTCCCCAAAATTTATTATAGCGGCTTCACCAAAATTGGGAGCTTGGGTAAGCAGGAGAATTCTAGTAGCCCAAGTTTAGGGAAATTCTGTAGTAATGTCCAAAGTGAAATGGCCTTCCCCAAAGTTTGTCAGTTTTATGTAAATCTCCAAGGTTTGAAAAAATTTTGAGGGAAATCCCCAAAATTCGCGTTGCGTATTATTCCATACTAACATTTTATCACCATTGTATTACTAGACTTTTTAATAATAAATTACAATTAAGAAAGATATTTTAGTCTACATAAGCGAGTCGTTTAAACTTAATACTGTACAGGCGTTTCGAAAGCTGAACTGAACTCATTGATGTGCTGAAGAGATTCCCTTCTCATACTAATCATACTGATTACAATCACGCCTAAAGTAAACTGCTTTTTGATCAATTCTACTTTTTAGATATTCGTTGATATTGACGGATAATTTTGGTCGTGGGCGTCCTGTTCTGTTTGTCTGCAAGAAGAATTATGAGCAGACGTGACGTGGATGGTGGATAAATTGTGACATGCTGTCGTTGTCATTATATCCTACTAGCATACATAAGACGGACTTTTACAGCTCGATCAATTACAAAATATAAATTGTATAGTCCATCACATTCTTTGCATTGCATCCAATGGAAGATAGATAACACACACAGCTTCCATAATAACACAACAATTCCACTACCCAGACGAAGCAAACGAAGGTAACTTAAGAATCATCAGTAGTTTCTCTAGCGCTTGTCTTTGTGTAGCATTCTGTACGATAGAAAATATGAATCAAAATATCACAAAGTGCGGAGACGTGACAGGAACTGTGTACTATAAAAAGTTCTTCATAGTAGTATTTTTAACTTGACTATATATTCAACTTGTAAACTGATTTTTCTGCATCAAATGTCGCTCTTCCTTTACCAGTAGTAGATGTATCAGTAAACTCTTATCCAGTTTTTACTCACTCCGTAGTTTCATGGGGAGACATACCGATAATCTTAACGGGCAACTATTTGTGAAAATTGAAAACAACTAAGTATTTGCTTTATAAGTACCCGTTTCGTTACGAAAATTTGTAGTGCTGCATCAGTTTAGAAGTCTCGCTAGAATGTTGCGTTGTGTATGAGTTTCTTTATTATGACAGTATATTCGGATGGGTACTTGTAGCGGCATTGTTTCCTAACCACACACTGTCTCCGAAACCAAGCATATAATGACCGGAAAGATGTGTATTCGACACGACAGTGGTAGACGTGGAGATATTCGATCTGATGGCATGATTTAACCTTACAGACGTGGTTATTATGTGTAACTCATTACAATTCACATTAAATACACTATCTTATCCCCAGTCCAAATGTATTCTTGAGAAGTGCTGATTGTCAAGGAGCGATGTGATTGCCACATAATATCTTACAGATGAGGCAATCACATCATGACAAATTCACCGTTTCGGATTATAATTCTACATGACAACAAGATTAATAGTGCAAAGACTGAGTACAGTTGTTATATTTATGTTTAAATCCATTAGATGAATAAACGTGACAGTAGTCAATATAAAACACAGATTTCGTGAACCTGTACATGGTCTCCTCGCGTAATCTTCCATATTCAGAAATTCGCTAAGTTTTTCACCTGCATAACCTTGATTATTAGAAAGTTTTGAGCCTTTCAATTAGTTGACAGAAGCCATCAATTGCATATCAGAACACGTATAGGGACCTTCCGAGTTTAATGCAAATCTGAAAAACAACAAATTAATGGTAAAAAAAAAACGATTAGACTTCGTTATCAGTATCACGTTCAATAAGTAAATACAATAGCAGCTAACAGAATGTACCTGGGACTGGAGGTGTTGAGCAGAAAACAGGTACCATAGCAATGCATTCAAAATCGACTTAAGCAATTAGTGGTCGTAAATATCTCTAAACGTGATGTTGACCTCATAGGTTTTACCTGAAATACCACTACTCGAATGCACTCGGTCAAGGATTCTTACCAGATGACGTTAGGCTGCTCCATGCTGCACATTCACTCAGTCAGCTACAACGTAGGACCAGACACATATATGCATCGGTCCAAGTTGCTATACCGCATCAGCACAACATGATGGACACCAGATTCATAGGTAATATATAAAAGAAAGATATGAAGCGATTTTAATCTTAGTTTAAAGGAAGACAGTATATACCTACGCCATTGTAATCGATTCTGAGTCATGTCACCAAGAATCTTCAAACATTAGTTATGGTAGTCGCGCGGACCCCAACCCAGTAGTCTGTGACTACCAACATGGCTAAGACTAAGAGTTAGTGACTTCAAGGATTGGCACCACATTCTGGTTTGGCCGTCCCTAACTTTCGTCCAAACATTCGCCACACTATTCAGCATTGGGCGTCGTGGTAATCGGTGTTCGGGCATACGCAACAAGTGGCCCAACCATCTCACTTGGTAAAGATTCACAACCTCACCAAATGATTTACCATCAATCGTCCGACCTCACTATTACTTACCCGGCGATCCCAGCAGTTGTGAGCAATATTTATAAGGCATCTGTGGTCAAATACTAGTAGCTTACGAGTATCTTCTACTCCTAATGGCCACGATTCGCAGCCGTAAAGTAGAACAGAACGAACTGCCGCGCAGTATACCCATTCTTTTATTGATAGACGGATATCTCGCCTTCGCCATAGGTGACGTAAGTTGGTGAAAGCCAAACGAGCTTTTCGAATCCGTCCTGAGATTTTGTCAGATATCAACCCATTAGGGCTGATCAGACTTCCAAGATAAGTGAAGTTCTCAACGCGTTCGACTACTTCACTCCCTAACCTTATTTCAGGTGTTGATGCAGACCAGTCCTGAAACAACAACTTGCATTTAGACGAGAAGCGCATCCCAAACTTCCTGACATTGTTGCTCAGTGCTACGAAAAGACAGCGCTTTATCAGCGTCTTCACTAAACAGGACTATGTCATCTGCGTATTCTAAGTCGATGAGTGGCCTCCTGGAAGATCAATACCCGGGAATTCAGTTGACGAGAACGTTATTTCCATCAGTAGGTCTGTGATGAAGTTAAACGATAACTGATTACCTTGGATACCACACAATGCAAATATACGTTCACGCTTCGTCCCTATAGACTTCTGGTTTTATTGACTTACAGATTATTGCATAAGAAGAATGTTGGGGGGAATTTTTCCTATTCCGCGTGTCCTAAGCCTCTAGGTTGATGAACATCTGTGATCCGGTAAACTAACCGGTATATTATGAGTCTGCTGTAAGACTGTCGTAACGTTAAATACATTTTTGTGTATGCTCGTTTTTTCTCTTGTATCGAATTTGTTTTGGATATTTGTGTATTTCGCTGTTATCATGTCTAAGCACAGTTAAAGTTATAAGGACCATTACCCTTCACCCATCAATCCATGACGGATAGAACTTCCGCATGGTAACAAGGAGTCGATGCCGCGCGAACTTAATAGGTATGTTTATTGGCGATTTCTCAGGGCCCCACGAAACCTGAAACTGGTTATTATTTAACGTAGGGACCTGACTGAGCCCAAAAGTTTGAATGACACACTTTATAGTTCAAAGTTAGTATATGTTCTGGAAAAAAACATGTGGCAATGCATAAAAGGTGTTACTGTCCAACGAGCCTTCGACGTGAGTCTCTTGTGAAAACTTTCCCTAACAAAGCTCTCAAAACATATTCAGGCAGTTTTCATTTTGTTCCAAAAACAATATGCCTGGTGCCTTTTAGGAGGGGATATTCACATCAAGCCACCGATAAACGCCGGTTAAATGTCAATCATTTTTATCGATCGTATGCTGTGCGGATGTCAAGAAACATTTTTATCGCCGGACAAATGGTAAATTCAACATATGATTCAGTCAGTTTTTCGTCACTCTTCTACAGTGAACGATTAGCGTGCCTTGGAGCATATAAGTGTTCCTGAGATGTGATAAGTTACGAAACATCGTACCGTGTCTTTTTTATCTGTTCAACATCCATCTCAAGAAAATGTAGTCAGTCTTTGAATGCTGCTTCCTTCATCCTATTATCCATTTTACTAACGAAATCGAGAGGATAAAAAGTGGATGCAACATAAGTTCACAAAGATGGTGGAAACAAGTAGTAAGTGCTTTTGTAAAGGTTGGTTCCAAAGTCACTGCCGAACATCATGTTAGAAGTAAATACCTACTGGTGAATTTCTTGAATACGTCGCACAGTCTAAGCAGGACTATAGTCAAAACAGCTAACTTTCAGTCAGTCAGTACAACGTAGAACTTCGTACGTACGTACATCAGTTCGAGTTGCCATACCACATTAGCACAGAGACACAGTTGTCGATTCCAATCCCGTAGTGGTAGAGGTAGTAAGAGTATAAGCAGTAATCGGAAACATTAGGGTTTGGAGATGTTATTCAAAGAGTATAATCCAGTGAAACAAATTTGGGAAGAGAAAAAAAGCGACATAAAGAATTCAGAAGATTAGAATTTAGGAGAACTCAAAGAGTGGATGCACCTGTTGATGAGACTTCTAAGTTAAGTGAAGCGGTCGACACGCTCAACTACTTCACTCCCTATCATTAGTTTGGGTGTCGATGCAACCCAATCCTGAAGCAACATTTTGCATTTCGAGGGGGAGAATCGCATCCCGAACATGCTTGCATTGTTGCTTAGAGTGGTCAGAAGACTCTGCATTTTGTCAGCGTCTTCACCAAATAAAACTATGTCATCAGCATATTCTAAGTCAACAAGTGAACCTCCCGGTAGAAGTTCAACCCCTGGAAATTTAGATGAGGAGAGTGTTATCTCTAAAAGTACGTCGACCACAAAGTTGAACAAGAATGGGGAGAGTGGACAGCCCTGACGAACACCACTTGAGGTAATCAATTCTGATGACAGTTCGCCATAAGCTCTCACTCTACCAGTTGTGTTCGAGTAGAGAGCCTTTATAAGGTTAATGTACTTCTTTGGTACTCCTTTCAGTGACAAACACTGCCATAGAACCTCACGATCAACAGAGTCGAATGCCGCCTTAAGGTCGAGAAATACTACCATTGTGGGGCGTCTGAATGTGTGTCTGTGTTCTAGAACCTGACGTAGTGTGAATATCTGATCTATACAACCACGTCCAGGTCGAAAACCGGCCTGGTTTTCTCTAATCTGCTCTTCACGAGCTTTGATTAGGCGTCGAAGTATTATTGAAGCTAATATTTTAGACACTATATTAGTCAAACTGATTCCTCTGTGATTGTCACAAGAGGACTTTTGTCCTTTCTTATAGACTGGCACAATCAGTGATTGAGACCAGTCAGATGGGATTACGTCCAGTTCCCAAATTCTACCTAAGACCTCAGTTAATCTCATTGCTAATACTGGACCACCATCCTTAAAAATCTCAGGAGTAAACCTGTCAGGGCCTGCTGCTCTCCCTCGTTTCAGATTTCCTATGGCTTTTTCAACTTCGTAAAGACGGAGGACCTACATTAACTTGCCATTCAGGTTGACTGGAGATCGTGGGAAACCGAAGTGTGGCTGAAGGCCAGTTGAACTGATCCCTAAAGTGTTCTGCCCATCGATCCAATCTCCTGGATTGAGAATGTATATGTCCATCTTTCTCTGAGATTGTTTCGCTAACGGTCGGTTCCTAATTCCGGTTTCCTTAACGAGTCTGAACAATTGTCTGCTATTACCTATTGCCGCTGCCTTTTCCATCTCTCTTGCTTTCGCTACCCACCACTGTTCGCGATCATTGCGTAGACTTCTTGTCAGCTTGCGCTTAAGCTGACTCCGCTCTTCATTATGTTCAGAGCCAGGTGGAATGAGTTTCCGAGCATCTATCAGTGCGATAGATGCTGCTGAGATCCAGTGTTGCTCCCTAACCTTCGGTTTACCTTACTAGCAGATATCACTGCTGTTTCCACAGCTTTTCGGATATCATTCCATGCTGCCTCGGGGTGGGCATCACATACATGGCTGCCTAACTGTTTTCCTAGTTGTTCCTGAAATATACTCTTAGCTTGACTATCATTAAGTAGGCCCTAAGAGGTTTCCTTGCAGCGTCTTTCCTACGTCCAGTAAGACGCAAGCAAATACGCGCTCGCACTAGAGCATGATCTGAATCTAGGCATGTGCTCCAGAATGAGCGACAGTCTTCTATCGAGCCCCTCCATCGGTGGCTGATAGCGATGTGATCTATTTGGGTCCAACGTTGGGACGAATTAGGGGGTCGCCATGTTAAAAGATGTTTTTCCTTATGCTTAAAGTTAGTATTTGCAAGGAACAGGCGGTTATCTGAGCATAGCTGCAACAGACGGTCGCCATTATCTGTTCTTTGAGCCACGACACCATAAGATCCACCTAGGTGTCTTTCCCTTTCGCTTAGTTTACCTACTTGAGCATTAAAGTCACCGGCCACTATTACTACATCCGAGCGCCTAGCTTTTCGGAGGGTCGGAAAGCTTTCTGTAAAACTCATCTTTTACATCATCTGAGCTGCAGTCAGTGGGAGAATAGGCAGAGACGACGAAGAGGCAACGACGAGTGTCCCTATCTTTCCGGATCCTTACTGTTCCGTTCAGTCGGACAGCGCACAAACGACTGTCTACTGGGATCCACTCTAAGAGAGCTAGTTCTGCCCTAGGACTCAATGCTATACCTACGCCGGCGAGGCCACGGGAAGCAGAATCAGGGCTTCCAGATACACGAAGTGTGAATCGAGTCGGTTCTTTATTTTGGCATGGTGAGGTCAAATGAATGACGCTACTCGGATCCTGTATGCGCGTTTCGGAGACGCAGCACACATCGATGGCGCGAGATTCTAAAGTCCTAGCTAAGGAAGCCTGTTGTCCTATTTGGCATAGTGTTCGTACGTTAAAAGCTCCTACGTGTAGTTTAGAGCGTGGTTTCAGGAGACCAGGAATAACGTTCCGCGTACTCGAATCGTTTGCCCTAGCGGTGCGAGGTGAAAAAAAGACGTGAGAAGGGTTAGTCGGGGAGATAAGAGAGGTATTAGGTGTAGGAAGGATTTGAATGTGACCAACTTGGTCTCGTGTGCTGTTACGGGTATGAGGGCTGATATCACTTCCCGGCTGTCCACACCGTGGAAGGGTATTTCTTGAGGAACCTGTAAAGGACATAGGATTAATGTCGGCCATAACGGCGTGGGAGCGTGACCGCAGAGCCCAAGGGACAACTACTTGAGACCAGTCACACACGGCCTTTTCGTGGGAGGTTTTTAATGTGTTAGCTCCGTTCTTTAAAGGGCCTTACCGCCGGAGACGGAAATTCGTGAAGTGAGGTGTGGCATTTTTAGGGTCGATCTTTTCTAACCCCGCCCCTCCTTGTGGGAATGCAGCATCGCTGCAGATGCTGGTTGCCCGAGGGAAACACCTTACTGCTGTCACACTCCTCTACAGTCAGCAGTACGACTTCGCCCTCAGACCTTGAGTTGCTGCTTTTAGTCTTACCGTTCTCCAATCGACCTGCCTGACATGGTAGAACCTACAGGAACATATGTTCAAGCCAATATAGCTCGGTTGGGTCATCACGATAGGCAAGCCCGACCACCGCGTCAAGGTAGCAGCTACGGTCGGTCTAACTTTATATATTGCAAACAATTATAGTCTGTTTATAAAATATAAATCAAAACAATTAGTACAAAAACGAAAGATAGTCAATTAAAAAAGGATAATAAACGCACATATACTTTACGGTAGCAGAGACAACGAAATGAATCAGCAACAAGGGTTAACCATGTCTATGCAACTGGTACAATTTCGGGATTAGCAGTTAAATAAAGAGTATCAGAGTAATAATTAATCTCGGATTAAATGATTCTTAATAAATGGACGTTTAGGTCAAATATTATTGGTTGATTCACTCTTTTCGTAAGAAATTGACTTATTCTTTTAGTAAAATTTATCTGATGTCTCTGTTTAACTTGAAAGTTATTTTTATCAGAATACGTCTCTAAACATATACAAGATTAAGTGTAATGGTTAGGCGATGTGACTGATATTCAGTGAAAACAAGAAAGCAATGAACAGCTGTTTCGTCTTGGCATGGGACCTATCAGCTACCCAACTAAGGGTTGGATAGATAACTCATAGCCTCTAGGTCACTGTGTAGACATCTTAGGTCACACATCGAGCATTTGATATAAAGGTCTAATCCACAAGGCAGTGGAGCAACGTTAGGAGATGCAGACCCACGGTAGCCGGTAACCAAAGATTGGTTCATATGCCATTTGTTCCTTTAGGATACTAGAGCCAAGATTAAATAAAAATAATTTTTTTGTCGATTTCAACGTACTTGTAATTATCATCTATTGTAGCAACTATCTACACTGTTCGGAGCCTAGGCACTCAACTATTAAACAAAATTTTTATCAAAAATATTACTTCGCATTTCCGCGAAGTAATTTTATTAGCCGCAGTAATGATTTTATTCCTTCACAATAATACCAAGTTTTTCTGCATCGTAATTTATGAAAGGCAATGAATAGAGAAAATCGCTATTTAATATCTTATCTCACAACAAAACATGTAGTAGCTTTAGGAGTATCATAAAGGTTCTGAGTGCTTGGATATTACTTACAAAGCATTAAATAAAATAATGACACTAATGTACATTTATTCACGCACTTCTATTGTTTTCAACGTTTGTGACCTCTAATTTACTGACAGAATTCAACAAATCTTCAACATAATTTTCTCTTTCGACAGGATGACCACGTGCCCATTCGAATTCTACAAAACAGTGAGCTGTTTCCCATGACAAAAGCACTTACCTCTAAGAGCATCTTTAGGATTTATATTCATAAAATCGATAAGATATCTTGAGACTAATAGGTAGTATGGTACGAACATTACCTGCATATTAAATAACCCGTTCGGTTTACGCCATGTGTGCAGTGTACAGCAATTATGCCATCTAAAAACACAAAAATTAGAACATTAATAGCACTCATATTTATGAGAATATACTCGAAAATGTAGATAAGTAGTTGAATATTCATAACAGCTATGGTAAAATGATAAACAATGATACATTTAACAGGAGTGTTCTAAATCACATGAAATGAAAGCTAGTTTTTAAAGTACACTTAATTATTTGGAACGGAAATGGGGGGAAATTATATCAGACTAGTCGATCAGAAAAGCTACGATATCAGAACTTTGCGAGGTCATTTATCATTTATTTATTAATTTGAACACATAAATATTGGTACAGGAGGGCACCAAATATATATGCGCCACACAAAACAATGAGAATTTGCAGAGAAGGAAGAAAAGATAAGGAGCGTAGAAAAACGATAACGAACAGATTAGTGTAAGGTAGTGTAATAATAATAATGAGGGAAACAGAAACGTACACTCAGAAGAGATCTTTCATTTAAGGAAGACGCAACCACTTTTATGAAGAAAGTAAAAGGTTACAACAGGATCGCCACTGGCTTCTATTCTGAGCCGTATCTGATAACGTCTCTACTCGAGAACGTTTAGATAGAGCCGAGGTGAAACTGTAGGATCTTGTAAGATAAGTATTCGAGCGAATGTTTCAGGCACGCATTCACACAAATGATCACAGATAGTTCCCAAGGGACCTGTAGATAGATGAGGAAGAATTGATCATGAAATATTTACTCAGTAAACTGAAATCCAACACTTGCAACACAACACAATTAACAGGCAATCTGGTTAACAGGAAAATATTAATACCTTTATAGTTGACAAACGAGGAGCGTTGGGATAAAGCAAAACTTCGGACATTAACACCCAACAGCGATACTCAGTCAGTCATAGTAGTGCTGCTCAAAGGTAATCCATAAATTATAGTCTCACCGTAGAATGATAGTCCTGCAATCATTTATATGTGGTGAATGAGGCTTTTCGAAACGTTTGAGTGACGGACCTATTGTAGTCTTTGACAAAACAAAGTGGAAGGATAGGCTTTGGCAGGTACGGAAAAGAGGAACAAACCTTAGACGTTATTAGTACCGACAAGTAGGAAAATTTTGAGACAATATGCAGATATTTTAAAGTCGAAAAAAAGAAACGAAGTAGGATATTATGAAAGACTGAATTTAAACTAAATCAAAACACAACGACTTATTGCAAATTTAATATATCACAGGAAAACAACAATTTAAGGTTGCATAAAGAAATAACAGCTAACCTGGAGATTGTTTACGTTCCTTGTTAACCATATTGATAAACCTATAAAAGTCGATTCTGAACTTAATAAGAACTTGCTGTTCAACAGTTTTCGAATTTGGGATTGCATGTCCTTCCACATATATCTTATGGTAACTTATATTATTATCATGAAGGAACTGGGAAGGTAAATAACGAGGAGTTACCTTTGGCGAATAATAGTTTGCATAAGTCAAATCTATGACACACGTCAATTTTTGGTTGTATGATTCAACACAGTTAATAAGGTCACCTAGTGTAAATCTGAACAGTGTTTATTGAAACAAGCACACTCTTACCTTAAATGAAAAGGAATATTGCTGGACTTTTCTGATGGTATAGGTAGTTTTATCGGAAGCAAACGCGTCCCTTTAACCGGGACGCCCAATGAGGTATAATCAAACCAACTAAAAAAGGATGTAAGATTATAAAGATATCGTTAAAATATGAACGATTATAAAACAATCAGTCTTGCAATTTGTGTACAATAGAAGTCTGTTTACTTAAAATACCACGAACTGTTGTAAAATTACTAGACAGACTTAAATGTTGTCAAATAAGAAGGCAGTTTATAATATAGATTAAATGAAATTACCGATCAGGCGGGTAGCGCGGCATCTTCGTTAACACTTAGGTTACGTGGCACGGCAGAATCTATTTTACTCAAAGACGACCGCCGTTTCGTTCAACCGACCTTGAAAGGCCGAACATGGAGCGGTCATTACGTAATTAAATTGGGGTTGTTTGGATTCCGTTGAGTTTCAGTCTTTAGTTATAAGGATAGGACATGAGGTCTGTCCACTAGTATCAATCCTTGCAGTTTTTAACACTGGGTGTCCAATCTCGTTTTGAATATATCAACGGAAGGTGCTGATATTACGCGTTTTGATAGCGAATTCCAGTAATTGACTACTTGGTGCGAGAAATGAAACTGCAGATGTAGACGATTTGATCTTGGTTTTTTAACTTGCTTCTCAAATGATGAGTCCTAGGCGGAAGGAAAAGATAAGACATATTAGTGCCAAAGTCATCGTTCAATATAGTATTCTACGGTAAGAAAACGAAAATAAGTTGAGGTGTCTCAGTCTGTCTACATAAGATAGGCAGATAGACCTTTTACCATCTTAGTACCTTGTCATTGGACTCTTTCCAGCATATCTGTTTCATACTCGAAACAAGAACTCGCTGCTTGAATCCCATATTCCAAATGTAATTGCACATAAATCGGGTACAATAATTTAAACATTTCGTCATTTAAATACTGGTAAGACCCACAAATACACCCTAACACCCGATAGACTTTTGTAGCAGCAACAGCCTTACAGTGACTGGTGGTTTTGAGATCACTGCTTAATATTACTCCTAAATCTTTGTAGTTTCTTACTTTGGGTAACACGAATCCACATATTGTGTAGTGATACGAATCATCATGATTATTTAATTGCATCACTACACTATCATTAGGACCTTCTTCTAGTGACCATCTGTCCAACCATGTCACCAATGAGCTAGGATCATCCCGTTATATTATTCTACTTGACTTACTGTGCAAAGGTCTCCGAATCTTTATGTCGTCGGCGAGAAGAAGAGTAGATAACTCTTCCACAGTTGGTGAATCAACTACATGAAGGAAAAGGAGAGGTAAACCGAGCACTGCGCCTTGGAGAACTCCACTTTTTACAGTTCCTCAGGATGAGAGTTATTTTAACCATTACGCTGTGTCTCTTGTCATGGAGGAGGTCGCTTACCCAGTTTATAACCTTGTAATATATTCCAAAACTTTCCAGTTCTAATTTAATGCTTGAATGGGAGACTTTATCAAAGGCTTACATAGATCTATGAAGATCACAGGAATATTCCAATCTTTTGCCGCAGCCCAATCTTCTCTTGCAATTATCATGTTTGTCAAACATGATAGGCCTCTCCGAAAACCATGTTGTCCCCTGGAAAAACGATTATTCCCTTCAACATAGTTTATAACAGCCATCCAAATGATTTTTTTCATTAGGCTTATCAGACAGTATGGCTATAGGTTCAGCAAATACATCCAATAGAGCTTTTATAATCATAGGATGAATATCATCAGAACCACTGGACTTATCAGGTTTGAGATACCTAGGTGGTCTCGTAACAGTGCCCTTCGCAATAATTACAAGGTCCAACAACAAGCCGCCAAAATCACAGTGAATCTTTTGTCGTTCCTCATTACTGATAGAAAACACTTCACTGAAATATTCCGACAAAGCTACAGATTTTTCGACATCATCTCTTGCCAATATCGACGGATGTTCTCGTACCAAAAATGATGGAATTCCACCACTATTCTGAGTTTGCCTTTTCAGGCACGCGAATAACTGTTTCGGACCATTTTTATAATCACTTACCCATTGTACTGCTCTAAGCCAGTACAGATGAATACATTCCAATATCTTTTCCCACGTGTAAGATATCTATTGACTTGTTCAGTTATCCATGGTGGACAGTATTTCGATCTACGTGGTACCAGGCATGGTATAAACGAGGAGGAAACTGAACTAAACTTGCCTTTAAATATAGGCCATGCTTCTTCAATTGATGAGCTAGTGTCAACTGACCAATCTGCCTTAGCGGCATACTTTCATTACATCTATGTCTATGGCGTTCTGATAATTCAGGATCAATGGTGAAACCATGGACTTACCAAGTTTATGTCACAGCTACAACGAGTGGCCTTAAATTGTCCACCAATGTTCCTAATTCATCAAATTTACTTCATAGACTACGAGCATTGGCATATCAAAATCCCAGATGTAACAGCCTATTCACACAAACCATGGTAGCGTTCGCTTCCCATACTTGAGAATTCGAACATTAATTAATCAAGATTTTACTCAACATCATGTCGACGAGTTTCTTGTCCAGCTAGTGCCGTCTTCGTTTCTATTCCATCTTCAAGAGACATACCACGTCTTACTTGAATATCGGTATCGTCGTGACTACGAGTGTAACCTGACAGATCATGTGCTTTGCCGACCCTAAGATTAGCTTAAGGAGTCTATATGGTCGAGGTTCAAAACTGTCATCGGTCCACGTACCTCTCCTTATCAATTTTTTAACAAGAAATCCTTTAGAATTCTCCGGTAAGATGCTACGGGTATGTTTCAAGAGCCTTCAGAAATAATGCGCGTATACAGATTTGCGATCAGGGCGGTTTGACTTGTAGTGGCATTGGACAATAGCCACACAATCCACAAAGCTGTGAACACGAGACTACTCAGAAAATAGATATTCAATATTTAACGCGGAGAAATACCTAACGATGGGGAAGGCGCGAACAATGAATTGAATGGACTGGGTTTGATCGGATGGCATGGCTCGGCCATGCAGGCGTGGTCCATCTGAATGTTACCTTATATCTTCTATTCATATTAAATATATTGTTCCTTCTCTAGCCTAACCTTGTTCTACATCATGTATTGGTAATTGATACGATACAGTGAGTTGGTGTAGTCGATGGTGTGACTTCCACGTAAGATCTTATAGATTAGGCAGTTATATCATGACAAATCTACAAATTTAGGATTAGGTCTATTATTAGAGCAGTACTAATATCATAGTAGACCATAATTCTACATTGGTGAGCCCAACTAAAGAAACGCAACCTATTATTGTTAATCCTTATTTCCACCTTAACCTTCTCAATCGGTTTTTATTTTTGTAAACCCACTATTCTAATAGTCCTTTGATTAATGGTCACATATATTATCGTAATGTTATATCTATTAGTTCACATAACTTACTAGCTCAATCGATAATAAAAGTTGATCATCTATATCAACTAATTAGCTTTGATGGTTCGTTAACAAGCTTTAATAGCATTTACATGCTTCAGCGACATAGACTTGTTTAAACATCAAGCTCTAGCAAATATGACCTGTAAATAGCGTAAATATACATTGACTAACAATGCAATCAAGGATTGAATAGTTATCTGGATCTAATTCTTAGTGTTCCTTCGCTTAACACCTCATCCTGTTTTAAACTATGCACTATCCTGTAATATCTTTTCTTCCGACCACTGCCTGCCTAATTTCATATTCTCGAGTTCCATTGCCAAACAACAAGGATGACACTTCTCCAAAAAATACGGTGAGTTCCAGCTATAAGTTTTCTGCAATCATAAGTTCATTTTAGATGGCTCATTCAATGGCACACACAATTATCTGGATTCATTCAGTTGTTCTGATCAGAGTGAGTCCCAAAAACCTCAACAGCATCAAGCACCCTGGAAGTGATTGCCATACTGCATGTTTTATTCTGGATGCTTTTGGATCATTACTACTCACGAATGGCGTTATATATGTCGTCCACTGAATAATCTAATTTTCAAAAATAATCAGGGCGAGTTCAACTATTTTACTTAATGATTTTTTTTACTTAACATGTATATGTTTTCTAGTTGCTTTTGCCATATATTTGTAAGTGTCCCTAGGCTAAATGCAGTAACTTCTTATGGAATGTTTATAACGCATCATATTCCTGCCTGAAGTTTCACAAGCAGTCTTAACTTTAAAATTATTTTCTGGTCATGTTCATTATTTTTAAATTGTCATATACGTCAACAACCTGCATGTTAACCTGGCCCATACATACGTTGCACTATATCTTCATGTCTTCTAAATTTAGAAATCATCTGAATCGCCTTTAACATTTATCAATAAACCCATCATAGTCGTTGTTGCTAATCGTATTTGGGTTTATGGATTGGTTTATCATATTAGCAGCCTAAAATGCGAACATAGTTTAGATAATAAGATTAAAAATTTAGGTACTATCAACTGCACTAGTAAAATAACTAAATCCCTAGGTAGCTGTTGGCTAAACAAACGTTTAAAATCAAAACTCCGTAGCCTACTAGAATTAACACTAAACGAATATTTCTGAATTGAAATTTATAATTAAATTAGGCGTCTCGGATTCTTTAACGTTATAAATTTCTGATGATTTCGAATCACCTAAAGCAACAATACCTATTTTTCCACTGACTAATCCTCAATCAACACTATAACTAGTTAAACTAATAGTTTCAGGATATCGTCATAAAGCATTGTCATGACTTGACAATCACGTAATATGACTGATAAAATTAATGAAACTATTAACAAAATCGGTCAACAAATTGACTTATAATTACCATTAAATGGTGTTGTTTTCTTGGTATCTTCATCCATCACAGATGATTACAGTATGTTTCTCTATCAGTTGCTCATTCAGTAAATATCTCAAAACCTTGTCAGTCTAATTGATGGTTTAGCGACACAATCATGCATGCAAATAATCAGTATAAGCAGTCGAGCAAATCTCCTGCAAACTGAAAACATCAATGTCGAATTTACCCCAACACTGACTAAGGTTCAAGCCATTATCATAGACATGAGTTGGGAGTGTACTCCCCTGGTTACAACTTATGTTCTCCCTGATAATCACATGAGCATCACTCACTATTAATCATCTTGTAAAAACTTATTTAGCTAAATACATCTTGCAGCACCACATCACTTCGTAATATGACACAGGCCTAACTGATTTTAATAACTTATAACCACTATATCTCAATTAAATCGTATTCCGCCTTATGA